AGAGGGTCCAGAGGAGGGCCACTTGCATGATCAGGGGGCAGCAGGGCAGGCCCTATGAGGTGAGGCTCAGGGACCTGAACCTGTTCAGCCTCCATAAGAGAAGGCTGAGGGGGGATCTAGTGGCCGTTTACAAACTAGTCAGGGGGGACCAGCAGGCACTGGGGGAGTCCTTGTTCCCCTGAGCGCTACCAGGAGTGACTAGAAATAATGGTCACAAGCTGGCAGAGGGTAAATTCAGATTAGACATCAGGAGGTGTGACTTCACTGTCAGGGCAGCTAGGATCTGGAACCAACTTCCAAGCAAAGTGGTGCTGGCTCCTACCCTGGGAGTCTTTAAGAGGAGGCTGGATGAACACCTCGCCGGGGTCGTTTGACCCCAGTGCTCTTTCCTGCTATGGCAGAAGGTCGGACTTGATGATCTGCTCAGGTCCCTTCTGACCCTACCAACTATGAAACCATAGAAGACTAACAATGCAATATCAACTTTATCATCAAAATATTTAAAAATCTGTTATTCCATATACCTGCCAAACCCCAAATTATAATTTTACTTAGTGAAGTGGTCACTAAAATTCCCTACTCTGTATAGCAACAGTAAAGGGAAATAGAATTCAAGTCAAACAAATCTCAGCAATTCATTATAAAATAACTACAAATAACGTTTTCTAAAAAAAAAAAGTATCAGAAATTAGCATTGATTGAGTCAGTATAGGCAAAGTCTATTTTAATGTTATCACCATCATTACTAGAATTATATTTCAGTTGCTGTACCTGGGCATCAAATGTGCGTCCAGAATGACACAGGTTATTAGGGTCACAGAGTATAAATCCTGGAAGAATCTCTTCTTCTTCAATTCCTTTCAGTCTGATCTTCAGATTTTCACCTGGGGCTACTGAATCAGTTTCTACATCATCAGAAAGGATTCCAAGAACTTCCACGTTGTGCTTAAAGAAAGCAAGATTGGAGTTTGCTGATATGAAACATTTAATGCACTTATTAACAACAAAAATCACTCATACAAATGTATATTAGAGCTATACAAGCTATTAGATACTTTGCTTTGCTTTACAAGACTGGTTTGTAATATAACAATAAGTGTGATGAACCTGACAACTGCATAAAAACAAATGAGTTTCCTTGCATCAGTCAACTATTAAAAATACACATACATCTAGCAAATTTATACCCCACTATATTCTAATTGATACAATAGTGTGGCATTAGTTCAGATTCCATCAGTAGTAAGTTTCAAAAGGGTTTCATCAAGCCAGAGACAGCCACTTCTTTCTCTATAAACTGTTGCTGGAAGCATGACTCCAAAACAATACATAATTTTCATCCATTTTGTGGCATGTGTGCTACTCTTATGCAGATGTATTACATTCTATATATTTTAGTTTGAACATTGCCATGGCAAAAGCTTTAAAAAGGCAGAGAAAGCCAAAGGCCCTTAAAACACTTTTAAATATGAAGGTGAAGATCTGATATACCTTGTTTGGCATCATCACAAGCTGTTGTCCTTTGCAAATCGAGCCTGATTCCAGCTTTCCCAGGACCACAGTGCCCATATCCTTTTTTATAAAGATTAGAAAAATGTACATCATTAAAAAGTTGCTTTCCTTAATGGACTTCTCTATTTTTTCTACTTAATCATAAACAGTCAATTCAAATACATCAAATGAATTAAAATTACTGCATTTAAGGCTCTCTCTACATGTGCAGATAAAGGCACAATGGGATTTAATGTGTGATCCACACAATCATGCTTCTTGCTATGTCATAACTACTTTGCACATGTAGCTGGTCTCAAGTTGACTGTGCAATTAGCCAGGTAATTGTGCACTACCTGTAATGTATAGAGGGGGCCCAAGTTATTACCTTCCAGTAGGAAAAGCCTCTAAAGCAATATTAAAACAGAGATTCCTAAAATAAAACATCTCTTCCTTTCAGTCAGTTCTGTAGTTCTAATTCATTAATTAAAACAGAACAACAGGTATGCTTAACTGCTGCCCCCACCTCCCAAAACCCTACCCAGAAAAGAAAATAAAACAAACCAGTGAAATGCACGGTCCATCTAGTCATGGAGAACAGAACCAACTGAATCCTAGTATTTTTATTTTTACCTTGTATTTATCGACAATTGGCAGCCTGATTGGTCCATCAACTGAGCGGTTGAAGTTTGGCAAATTATCCAGATATGGAATAAATGGTAATCCTCTAGAAAAGTGAAGTCATTCATTTAGTTATATTCATGTGGTTTAAAACTCTGAATCAAGCTGAATTTTTTCTTAATGACCCAAGGAAAAAGGTCCAAAACTAAAGAACTTAAAACAAAATCCTTAACACGACAAACATGACCACCATTTATGTCCATGTTAGCATAACTCAAAAATGGTCCTGCAAAGTGTTAATATTGTTTGCATTCACAGCATGCAATTAAGCTCTCTCTTTCATCTCTCAGTTTCATCTCACTTAAGTCTCTACTGAAAGTGAAAGCTTCATCTCTCACTTTGCACATGTAGCTGGTCTCAAGTTAAACCTGTACCCTGGACTGCCTGCCCCCCTACGCCTTGTACTGAGCCATAAGTGAAGTCACAGGGGCTAAATAATTTTCTTAGAACTCCAACCATCCATGTCTACATTCAGCTAACTCTTCAGAGCTGTGGGACAAGTGACAGCAGAATTCTTGTATAAAACTAGAGGTGCACTGATACAATCAGTCTGATATCAGATCAGTACTAATTATAGACCAGTTCATTATCTCTTTGAGAATCTTGCTAGGCAGGCTAAATCTGTTCCAGAAGTGTGGGCACAGAGAGCTACTTCTAAATGTGTTTTTATTAACATCGTTTAATTGCCCTGAACCATACTGGCAAACATAGTATTAAGTGGGGACTGGGCTTGTAGCCAATTACGTTAAAGTTCTATATAAACTATTATTTACTCTAGCCACACGTCCAACATGAAACTACTAGAAAACTAGAAGTAGCAGAGAATTTTCAGAACCTCAGAAGGCAAAGAAAATGTTATAGCTTGTGAATAGTTTTGCAGTGAAATCTTTCTGCAGTTAACCAAATGTTTGTTTTGTTCACTTAGACTGGTTTGTATTCCCTCTTGCCCTGATCATCTTCTTTCAAGCATATTTTTGGCTAGTATATTGGAAATGACTAAAATATTTCAAGCTATATTTCTGTTTAACTTTATTGCAGCAATGTCTTTACAGAACTATTACCAACTCCCCAACTTATTAGTAAACATTATGATACGTACATATACCAAGGACAGAAGTCCGATTGTTCTTTAAGATTTGCTCCAGTCAATCCTGAGCAGGGCATGAAGTGAATATCTTTTTTGGGATTGAAGCCAACTTTCTTTAAAAATGGCACTAGTTTTTCTTTACATTCCTCATATCTGTTAAAAAAAATGACAAGCATATCATCATTTATGCTGTTTTAATAACAATAATGTTCAAATAGAAAAATAGTATACTAAGTCCTGAAACAAAATACATTTAAAAATTCAGTGCAAAAAAGCAGTTAAGGGTGAATGTACATATAATTCCTTAAAATCCTACTCAAAACATTTTTTTGGTGATGTTTATAAACAACTTCACAGCGGTAGTAGCAGCTTGCATGCTGAAATCCCTGCCTTGCCTGCAGACGAAAACTGTCCTGATATTTTCCCAATCTGCATTAATCTGTTGCCTCTTTTCTTAGAAGCTCTAAGCTAGTTTGGAGAAAGATTGTATTTCTGCCCTATGTTTTGTTCAGCTCATGGCACAATGGGGCCCTAGGTTCATAACAAGAACTTCTAGGCACCAGTGTAAAACAAAGTGTTGCATCATAGGATAACAGTTTATGTGAATTTCTTTACATCTGTTGGGGGAAGTGGAGATGCAGGGAATGGTGCAGGGAGTGGAGAAAGAGCAGACAAGACATGGGGGTACAAGGGGTAGGCTGCAAGGGGGAGTAGGGAATGGGGGCAAGTACAGGCAGGGGTGGAGGTACAGAGGGCAGGCACAGAGGAGCAGACAACGGGTCT